ATTAAAATTACCTTTATTGATAACATATTGCATATTATTGTTTATTTTCTGATTTGATGAGTATTTGAGAACATCATAAATTATGAATTTAATCACAATTTTCAAAAGAGCAAGTAGAAATGAAACGAATATTAAAAAGAATAAACATGTCAAATAGTTTATTACGATAATATTTCAAAAAAATAAAGACTTGAATTAATGTAACGTGTTTCATTGCGCATTTTTGATGAAATATTTAAAGGTTCATATAAAGAATAGTTATTGAAAAAAAATAAAAATGTTAAATAATTCTTTATAAAACAATATTTTGTAACAGTTCATATTTCCTTGTCGCTAAGACATAAAAATGCTTTAGATGTCTATTCCCAGGTTAATATTATTAATTTTAGTTTCATTAATTATTATTTTAGTTAAATTAATGAATTGAATCTATTAAAGAAATTTTATTTGAAATTAACTACAAAATATAATTATTAATTCTGTTAGATTCTAGTGGTTAAAAATGTATCTATGAAATTTTAATGGTGGTAATCTATATATATTCAATGATAAATTTTATAGAATTAAATTTTTTATAAAATAAAAATTAATTTTTAATTTATCAATTAATATAAGAATAACATTGATAAACAGTAGAAAATTTCTGTTTATTTATATATTGTAATAAATATATAAATATGTAATAAAAATAAAATATATTATAATATAATATATATATAATATATATATATATTATATTATTATGTTATAGTATTATTTATTATTATATTATATTATATTTTTTATTATTATATTTATATATATATATTGTTTTATATATTGTATTGATCCTTTAAGGATTAAATTCTTTTTAATCTTATTAGACTATATCATACACAAAATTCTATTTTTGAAAATTAAAAATGTTTGTTGTACGATACATAATGAAATTATTATTAATATCTAAAAGAGAAAGAGAGAGAGAGAGACAGATTTCACTTTCATATTTATAACTTGAACAGTTCTTTTTATGGAAAGTCATATGCGACTGAAATGTATAGGTATACCATTAAATTGTCAAACGATCAACGAAACTGATATCAGTTCGCTTTAAAATTAGTTTCATACGTTTTTACATGCATCGAATGTCCGTTTTAAAGATTGTTGATATGATGATGTTTTGTCATAGAGATACAATGAAATACAATACTTAGACTTAGAGCGAGTCTCAGTCTGTTGTAGAATCATTTATATGACGATCAACACATATACAACTTGTGGAATAGGGGAAGAGAACTCGGTATTGTAGATTCGGCTGAATGCGTCAATATAGCATTAAGTTCCTCCACTTTCTCAAAAAAATGATTTCGAAAGAAGGTTAGTAAATCTAAATCTATAGGCCCGATGTATTTCCTCGAGCTTACTACAGCGATTATGACAACCAAATAGTGTCGTATTCTAACAGTTCTCCGCACATCGAGCGAAGATCAGAATATTTGACTGTGTTTACACAAAATCATGTTGCAAAACATAAACTCGATGTGTCGAATGAGTATGTCTCATACGTATGAAGAAAATCAGCATGGAAGATAATACAAGTATGAGGAATGAGGATGGATTTCTATGAACTCAATATCAAATTGTGTATCTATAGATACATAACTAGGTAGCAATACTGTCATTGTGTACGTTAGACTCTATCGTACGTCGAGTACTTTTTAAATAGATTTATAATATTTTTTATAATTTAAATAGGTTTATAATATATGTTGATAAAAATTCTTCCTAAAAATTTTTGTTTAATTTTTGCAAAAAAAGTATGCTCACAGTATGACGTGTTTGCGTGTCGTGCGCGAGAAACAAGAAGAATTGCGTGCATGATGTATGACCGGGAATGTATTTTCGTTTTCTATTGTTCCCACGTTAACGTGAACGAAGAATAAGAAAAAAGAAAAGAGGAGAGTAACACTATTAGCAAATTGAATATTTAATTGGCACTATTAAATGCTTACATGTAACTATCACCATGTAAATATTGTTACATTCGACCCGTCAATCACTGTCACTATACATACCATACTGTCTCAAGCCATACTAATGATTCACGAATCGAGAGAGCCAATATGAGAAACAGTAGGTCGCAGCTTTGACAGTCGGAGAAAGTATAAAGTATAAACCTCTCTGTTACCATCCCATTGCGTCGCCAAAACAATGGCATTTATTTTATGATCAGGACTTATGCGATCAACTGATCGATTAAAAATTAATTTATTATATTATATGCATATAAATTAATTAATTATATGGTTAATTTTATAATATATATAAATTAGCGTTAATTTGATGCAACTGATGCTTGCAATCAATTGTTTGATTGAGAGTTAATTTATTGTACAGATGTATAATAAATTCAATGACGGATTTACAACAATTTTTTTGTAAAGATATGCCACTGTCCATGAGTTTGGAAACGTGGTAAATTCAAATGATAGAGAAAATGATCAACGAAAGAAATATCTGTTGTTATTTCAACGTTAATGTGTCACAAAGATAAGAGAGAAACTTTACACGCAGTGCAGCCTTCTGAAAAGTTGAAAATTCTTTGTTAAAGTGTCGTTATATATATATTATATCGTTACATGTATATATTATATACATATATGTTCACACACGAACCTATGGACAGTATCGTGTATCTATTTCATTGCTAATTTTTGTATTTATGCCTAAAGAGAAATTAATGCAAATTGTGTCAGAATTCCAATAACGATGTACTGCTTGGAAAGCCCCGTAATCAGGCAAGAATTTGAGGGGCAACCTAGCAGCGCGCGTTCCTAAATCCTAGAAATGTAACTTTTATCCTTTCGTACCGCCTATTACTGGGACCTACGAGTCGAATTATCCGAGTTGCGCCTGGGGCGCTCCAAACTTTGTCCTGCGGTTAAAACTATCCGAAAGCATCGCAGTCGTGCTTCGGAACAAAGGCCCGACCGTTGATCGGAGCACCGACTTCGGTATCCGCTGAAAGCAGCGGATGTATTTTCTTATTCTGTTTTGAGGCTCTTGCCCGATCGTCTCACGCATAAGTTACGAGAATGTAATACAATCATCGTTACTGTCCTAAATAAACCTTCACGTATGAATCCATACGTCAATTCTACGGTCGATTCTTTCTATTTTAGTACCATCTCTCCTTCACATCCCCATTTGTCGACACATCACAGTTAGAAATTCATCAAAAAATATTATAAACCGACGCGAATTTGAAATTCATTTTAAAATTTTTCGAGTAGATCGTCGCGTCTTAACGATCGTGATCGAACAGTCGATCGTGAACGAACGACACAATTTGATGTCATCTCGTTCATGTTTGAGGAAAACTTGGGTATCGATTCACAACCAATAAAGTTCTCCTATCTGCCCGAGTTCTCCAACCGGGAAACAACCTATAATGTTGAAGAGGCGGTTAAACTTGGACGTAACTCTACAAGATTGTTAAACGCGCAAAGGAGGCTGCTTTGTCGCTTAAGAAGCTACGAAACGAGAAACCCCTTTACGACGCATTAACATCTCAGCATAATTGTTTGAGATAATTATCTCCGGTATTTAGAACCCAGACAGATACCCATCACGAACTCTGTTTGTTTCAGCAAAATCCACGGGCAACTACAAACATAATACGTACGCTCAAATATATATAATTAATTCGCGAAGAAATGAAAAGATCTTATTTCAAAAATGGAAGAAAAATTAAATATTCACCGAATTCCCGTGATCATATATTATATAATGAGAAATATCTCTCTAAATATTTATTGTTAATATATTGCTAATTTGTTGTTAACAGGTAATTATTTAGATAATAAATTTTTAATAACCATACATCTTTTTAATATCGCGGTTTACGACTGTAGTTACCAATTATATAAAATGAACTATATTTGTGGTCATAATTAATTATTTACATTGACAAAATTATAATAATTAGTATAATATTAAATTAGTTATAATGAATTATAAATAGAACGGAATTTAATTTACACTAATAGTTTTAATTAAAATTGAGTAAATAACCAGTTATAGTTTATATATTATCAATTTTGCATCGATTTATGTCGACCGCATCCAATATGTCGAAGGAATGTCGTGTGCTATACAAATTTCCCTTTATCATGATCGGATTATCAGCAAATGGTATTATGCGCTGATGATAGTATAACATAAAAAACAAGATTGTACTATATATTTCAAGATTATGTTCACACAGAATTTTTATGTTTTGTTTACGTTCAGTTTACGCGAATATTTTCATGCGTATAATATACGAGCAATATTAAATGTACAAACTATTATATAATAAATTAAATAACACAATGCAAATATTAGTAATAATAATGTTAATATATCTAATTTTATAGTACTGATAAAAAAATATATGTAAGTACTGTCTAATGTAATAACACATTAAAGAATTTCGATGATTCATAGATTGTTTACATAGATAACACGTAGTAGGTAAAACGTAGTTTATGTAGTTTGCATTTTATATATAAAGGATAAATATTATAATACTTGAATCTCTCAGCTTTTCATCATGCATGGGAAATAATCGACTTCAATTGGGAAAAGCATAAGAACATAAACAACACAAAGTTTAGAGGGGACAAATGTCTTAATAACAACCTTTTAAATATTTTTAAGACATCTTATGTTCCAATTTTAACCTTATTTGTAGTGTTTAGGTTTTTATCACTCTTAATTGATAATACACTTATTATATGTACATTTACTAGTAATAAAATCTGTTTATTATTGGTAAATGGATCTTAATTTTTAATTATTATGAATAATTTTGTGCGCAACAATTCCGCGCTTGACTTTTATGCTTATCTTTGTCTTGTTTGTTTGAATTATCAGTAGTCTGTTTCTTAAATTTAATTCAATTATTTTATTATATGTTTATTATGTTATATATATTATATACCAATTGTAATGAATATTTGTTCTCTTTCAGGTGATTATATTCTAGTAAACTAGAAAAATTTAAATACTGTATAATTGTCTCATCATAATTGCAAACATTGGACGGCTAAGGTATCTCGGAAATGCGAATTCCTATATTCATCAAGATATATTATTTCAAATAATGTATTATTGTGCAAACAATTATTTCCATCAATAACAAAGAATAAAATATATCACAAAATGCTCACCTTGCGATCCGTCGTCATTTCTAGCTACCTCTCTAATTTTCTTTTCCTCTCTTTTCTCATTATTTTTTTTATGGTACTCATGTAACAATTTTGCTAGAACAAATAAACTCCTGGTTAGAATTGTGGGCGGTTATAATTAATTATTAGAATAAAATGATCGCTCAGCTGTGTCTTGCTCTTGGCGTTGGAAATACAGAATGTATTAATTACGCGATTCTTAAATATTACAATGTTTTAATTACCATTTGATTATCATTTATTTCTCGCACAATCAACATCGCCAAGAGCGACGTGCTGGCAACGCGGTAGCGCTACTCTTGATTTTCGGCTGAATATACAAATTCGGCTGAATTGCACCCGAATTATCAGCATACAAGTATAATATTACGAATCTATATACGACGTGATATTTAAGCAGATTCGTCTCGGAACCAATCTGTTCTATGCCTGCCGTATTCTGTGAATGAAAATGAATGCTATTTATGTGGCAAAGCGGCTTCGTTTCTCGCGTGATTAATTTCACGCATCAAAAGTGACGCGGCAGCGTTACGCGATAAATTTTTGGTCGAACGAGTATTGCAAAATATGCGTTCGAATGAATAACATGTATCGAATCTATATTACATGATGGTTAACTATTACAGTAAATGATAATAAATGAAAAGTTGTATAGGTTTACTTATCATGCAATTAAACAACTTGCGTAGCAAGCACTCGTGGCACTCGTTCCGTAGCTGATGCGTTCCCGCCGCGACACCGTGTTCTGTAAATGAAAAATGAAATGACTTCATCTCTCGAGCGGTCAACTTCGCGCGGCAATTAAAGCGACACGGCGACGAGTGGCGCCCGATGCCCCCGGCACACGATGCAACGCAATGTTCATCCTGCTCTTGCGGCAAATATCTTGTATGATCTTATATAATTATGTGATGATTAAATATTGAAATAAACAATAAATACACATCTAATATAAGTCAATAAGAAATAGAAATTATAGGCTTATAACGGTTAAAGCTAGATCCTTGCTGTTTAAATAATTCAATACGAATTATATAGGGAGTTTGGAATTTAAATGTTAAAACTCTTCGAGATCGTAAAAGGGATCGATAAAGAATAAAAAGTCTTGTAGAGATATACTTTGCTTCGTCTTGTAGAGATACTTGCTTTGCTTCGTTTTGAAGAAAATCGCAAAAAAGGTAAAACGTAGTTGCTTCGTTCTTTAAATGTGGAAGAGTATAGTATCTTGGCCCCCCAATCATATGATCTGACACCACGAGGTCTTTGTGTGGGAAATCCTAAAACAAAATGTTTATTCGTCGTTAATCAAAGAACAATTGAGAAATCGAATCGAGGCTGCAATGCATCATCAGATCAGTCGATCAGTATTTCGTGCGCTGCAACACAAGCTATCTGTACACTAATGATATGTTTGCATTCTTGCAAGAAGTGACCATTTTGAGTAATATCTACATTTAGCAAATGAATAAATACAATGTGAATAATAAGCGACAAATTCTTCCATATATGATTTAAAAATGTAACTGATGATAAAAGGGGTTTCTGCACTGCTGTTCCCTAAAAGTCGTCGTAGGGAAGAAGAAAATCGCCTAATTTGCGACATGTCCTTGGTCATTTTTTGTTGCAAAATCTTATTCCATTCGACTAATCTGGCAACGACGCGAACGGCCGTAAGAATATCAATTAAATATCGGTCGTAAGAATGTTGGATATATATTTTGGATAAAATCCGAAAGACGTCTTAAGAACGTCTTTTGGACAAATCCTCAAGACGTCTTATTGAAGACGTATTTTGGATGTCTTTCAGACGTGCATTGTTCTCTGGGATATATATATAAATATATATATATATATACATTTTATGTTAATTTGTGCCTGGAATATTTCTGACGGCCGGTAACATATCTACGGACTAGATCGATTTTGTTCTGCAGTACCGTTTGACAATAATGGATGTGATGTGAAGCTGGCACGGCATTCTGCCGAAATCAAAAAAATTACAACAGTTCCAGTAGCACTTTTCATAGTTCTACAGTTCTACCTAAAAACAAAAATAGTTCCGCAGATTTAACATGAAAAAACTAAAATTGAAAATATGGCGTGCTAACTTCGCGAATCTGAAACGTCAGATTTCCTCTAAAGTACGAGAAAAAAATTAATATTTGCACTTTTAGCAACAGTTCCCGATAGTTCTACTAAACACCAACTAAGATATGCATTTTCAAAATAAAAAAACAACATTTAACAACTTCTATACATGATCCTATATATAGAAAATGGCATAAAACTTCTAGAAAAAGTGACGTGCTGACTATTTCTATCAGTTTCAACGGCAGTTCTCGTTAGTTCTCACAGAGTTCTATGCATTTATAATTAGAGTTCCGGCCTCTACATATTTTTAATCAATTTTTTTAATACCTGAGTACAGCACGACACTTGTAGAAAATATAAATGATTGCAATGCATAGAACTCTGTGAGAACTAACGAGAACTGCCGTTAAAACTGATAGAAATAGTCAGCACGTCACTTTTTCTACAATATAGAGATTTCAACTTCACAGAGCTGCTTTGTGAAGTTGGCACCTTAAATAACCCTATGTTTATTATGTTTTTCGTAATAGTGTAAAATAATCACTTGGGGGTTTTACAATGTTTTTGTGCATAACTTTTTTTTGGTGGGTGGATAAACGAAAATAATGGGTGGACAAACGTGGACAAACAGTGGACAAACGAATGCAATAATGATTTTACCAATATTCGCATTTAAGTTGCCAACTTCACAAAGCAGCTCTGTAAAGTTGGAATCTGTAAATGCGAATATTAGCAAAATCATTATCGCATTCGTTTGTCCACTGTTTGTCCACATTTGTCCACCCGTTATTTTCATTTGTCCACCCTCCAAAAAACAGTTATACAAAAAAATTGTAACACCCCCAAGTGGTTGTCCACCCGTTATTTTCATTTGTCCACCCTCCAAAAAACAGTTATACAAAAAAATTGTAACACTCCCAAGTGGTTATTTTAAACTATTACGAAAAATATAACAAACATAGGGTGGACAAACGAAAATAATGGGTGGACAAACGTGGACAAACAGTGGACAAATGAATGCAATAATGATTTTACCAATATTCGCATTTAAGTTGCTAACTTCACAAAGTAGCTCTGTAAAGTTGGAATCTGAAAATGCGAATATTGGCAAAATCATTATTGCATTCGTTTGTCCACTGTTTGTCCACGTTTGTCCACCCGTTATTTATGATTTCTTGTAAAACGTTTCAATGCTGTCTGTATAATATATAAAACATCGAATTTATAACAATTGCAAAATCAAAGAGAGTGAATATGTTACCTGCCGGAAATATCTGTGACTACATATTTCAATGTTCCTTACCATGAAGGAAGATATAAGGAGCCTCCACTCAGTCTCGCCAGTCTACAAAATAATTTATCAGCGTGTCATAAAAATCGACATGGTACGTAGTTCCCGTAGCTCGAAAATGAATGTTGGTGCCGCTAGCATATGGGAGGTCCAACCAGAGAGAAGCCTGAGAGCGGTCATAGCTGTTACTTTATTTTGAAACGCCACTTATGTCCACAAAACGTGGACTTTGAACTATGTAGCCAATGTCCAAGATCGTGTCGGTAATGTCAAAGATTTATGGTTCGAATCTTCCCTACGTCCATGATTTAAAAAAAAAAGCCTCTGAGGTAGAAAAATTGGAACTAAAAGGGTCAAGTGACCAATAGTGGGGATATTCAAATCTATACGCGCATAACAATATGAATATAACCGGTTATAATAGTAAGTTCCTGAGCGATGTGTTAACTAATGTTATTAACATTATTTAAGTTTGCATTATTTAAGATAGAGAAATATACCGTTTCTCAATCTACAATAATGCATTCTTAAATAATGTTAATAACATTAGTTAACACAAAGCTCAGAAACTCTCCTAACACAATTTGTCTAATATTATTAAAAATTCTTTTATTTTTAATAATATTTATATCATAAATATATATTTTTTTATACATTTTTCAAATATTACTATAAAAGTTACAAATAGTTTTCGCTAATTTCATTTTATTTTTTTAATACTAAAAATATAATGCAACACATTCTCCCGTCCCACTTTACAGACTGCGGACTGTCGGATATACAAATATTTAATACCCGGTGTGGTTAAAAAATGTGATGCATAGCATTTTCATGCTCCACAGCATCATACACACAACCAATCGCACTTAAGAATATACTATAATATTTACAATATGCATTAATAATATGTATAAAAAAGTATACGGATACAATTTACAACATAAATCTATACATGTATGAAAAATTGAGCAAAATACAATATATACCGTACATATATCATAATAAAATATTACCATATATACACAATTAAAACATTTTCGAAAAGAGGTTATTAACAAAGCAAAACGAGAGGAGCAATTGAGGAATAAATACTAATAAAACAAGGTGGGAAGAATCAATTAAAAACACCAAAACAGTTGTAATACACCCTCTTGGATTTCTATTATTTGGTCGCCTCTTCCATTTCCGAGATTCGTCAAATAACTACTACTGATATAACTTGACCAATCTTTGATTTTACACCTACGACACCACAATAAACGTAGCGCAAAACTCTCTTCGAAAAAATCGTTTTAATGTTTCAGAAATCATTTTATGACTCGATTGCAGCTTCTACATATGGTACGTGTGATAGACGATGCAGAATCAGCCAAGTAGCGACTGCCTGTGCCTACGATCGACGAGATGGATGCGGGACCGTCCGCGAAATCGTTGCGAATACAGCCGGCTCCTCGACTCTCGTTTAACACACGACTCTAACGTCGA